CCATGCTTAATGGTCAGTTGCCGATCTTATGACTATATGAGGTTGGACTGGATTTCAGCTTGAGTTTAGATTGTGGTGAAAGATATCATACAAAGTTTCTTGGAACAATGAATAAATAGAAAAAATATTTCAATTGCCCAACAGATTACTCCATTTACAGGACAATTCATAAAGAAAAAAACAGTTTATCAATAAACTGATAACGATATGATAGGGTTCAAATTGGAAGGGTTGTATTTTTTTGATACAAAAAATGTTGAATGATTAAATATAAACAGTTAAATACTGAAAGTAAGAACTTAAATATTAAATCAAAACTATAATACTGAAAGAACTCTATCATCTATAACTATCCTTTCATCCAACGTTGATTCTAAAGGAGTAACAACCGTAGAGCAGATGAGGTCATCAAGCAGTAAGAAAGGAGGAGTGGTTATATTTTTTCTTTCCGTCTTATCACTCGCTAGGAATTGGTAGATCCGGACTATGGTAGAAAATACCTCTGTGTGAGTCAATGAGGACATCCAAATGGATAAATGGAGCCGAATCAGTGAATAGGAACAGTCTTGTGACCCTGATTAACGTTCCAAAATCCTTTGGGATGCAGGATTAGGTTGAGAAAATTTTCCGTAGGAAAGAAAAACCCTATGAGAATATTCGCGTACATTCTTAGAATAATATCAAACACAAAAGGGTACTGCCATTATACATCACATAACATGATTCGCTTCTAATTAAAAGGAATCGGTACTTCCTATCTGGGAGTACCGATGAAGTGCATACTCAACGTCCACAAAAATTAAATGCATGGGCTGAAATTTTTAGTGACCGTATTGTTGACCCATTGTTTTTAGAAGGCAATTCAACCGAACAAAAATATCTGGAGTTTCTGGAAGATACTATTAATCCCCTTCTCACTGATGATATTGAAAATTACCACAATTGTCGGGAGGATCTGTTAATATTTCGACAAGATGGGGCTCCACCGCACTATGCTCTGCCTGTTCGGCAGTTGAAGGATGCTGTGAAGAAGCGTATAGTAGTAGAAAAATCAAATCTTATGTAATGTATAATCATATTCAGTTTGGAGAAACAGGTACTGGAGTGTTTACTAAACTCCACATCGAGCTTGAGAAAATGCCAAAAAAGATAATTTCCGCAGCGAAATAGGATCAAATTCTGATGTCTGGAGAGATCTGTCGGTTGGAAACTCCAATAAATGTCCGAATATATACAAAATGGCATATATCTACTAAACCATTTTCATGAATAATTATTCAGCTGAAGTAATCTACTCGATAAATGACAAAGCAAAGCAGAAAAACTAGTCTATATCTGAATTTCCTGTTCTGGTTAACCTCAAATCTGATAAGCTACATATCTCAGTATACTGAATATGAANGCATCTTCGAGGCTAAAATCTACAAAACGAAAGTTCACGCTATCATTGCCAATTGCCTGGTTAATTTTTCGTTCTGCTTCGGCAGCGCTTTGGTTCAATGTGAATTTGTAGGAAAAAATGGCCGACAATCGCTTAACGACAATGAGCTGAAAAATTCTTATTTGGAAAAAATTAACATCAATGTATTACATTTTAAACAGATAGTATCAGTATCACGGCACAGCAGAATGAATATTTATTGAGATATGCAACTATAAGAAGACATGTCCCTCAAACGGACGCAACTTTTGAAGCAACCTGAATATTATCAACATTACACCTATTATTTGACTTATCTCATAATTCATTACTATTTCAAGTCACTGGAAGGTTGTGAGTTCGATCCCAACCTCAACCAGATATCTCTCTCTCTCTCTCTCTCTATTTTAGATGATCGTTGCTTCCTATCTTCAGGCGCATATGACCAATGCTCCTCCTGTTGGAGCTTCGTCGGGGGGCGCAGCGGTCTTGCACAAAGCAATGCTGCCACCCATTTTTTCCAACTTTTTATAATAAAAAACACTAGTTTTTTTTAGCATAAAAACAATTTGATTTTTGAAGTCGCCTCCTACTTGGGAGACCTTTTGGTAATTTTTCACATATATAGCCCCGTTTACGTGGTTATCCGAACCACCCCGGCCTGGATACCGGCGTGAATAAAGGGGGCCACTTATTCATCACTTTTTTAGACACTTCACATTTCAATTTGAATACAACACAAAACGGAGCCCCACGATAGCACATGGCATCCGCGTATCTTCTTTGTGAACGGACGTTATCAGCACGTCTGTCCACTACCACGGCCACCACGGAACTCCCTGAAATGATGTCGTAACCTGATTCAAGAAAATGTTTTTTGTGTAGTCCAGTAGAGCCCAGTTACTTCTTTGCATGATCTACACATTTATGTATAAAGTTACTTCTTTTGGAATTTGTTACTTCCTTGATTTTTTTTTGGAAGATTCCCACATTTTTTTGTATCAAGATGGAGTAGTAGAAAGCCAAAAATGCACAATATCTCTGTTGAAAGAGGAGCAAAAATTCTTGAATAAAGGACAAAATTAGCCCAAAAATTAGGCTGAAACTATAGCCTCATATGAATATGAAAATTCAAAGTGGTTCAGCTAGCTAAACTGGAGTATATAAATAATTTGGCTAATCGCCCATTTCAATTTATCACCTTATCAAAAGGCAGAAAAATTTATAACACAGATCAAATGTATTTACTAAATCTGAGAATTATTTTCCGAACCACCAAAATGATATATCTACTTGCGTATTTTGTAAAGGCATTCAGACTAGAAATCCGCGATTTTTCTTCAGTAACTAGCAAGTTTTCAAAATAAGCAGATACATTTCAAAATTTTGTGAAATAACAAATATACAACTAACAAACTATGTCAAATGTCATTTGAAAATTAGCATAATATACTAAACTGGTTTTTACTGAATACCACACACACAAATATTGTGTTGGTGGTATCTAACTCACAGTTAATTTCTCATTTGAAAATTGAAAATAAGCGGGAGTTAGCAAATTATAAACCACTTAAAATATCTCACCCAACTCTGCTCAAAGAAGAGAGCGAAAATGTTTATAATTAGGTTTTTACAAAAGTCATGCTTTCTACAGTGCATTTCTTTAATGCCCCCCCCCCTTTTATTCTTTGAACGGGTCTACTCAAAACATTGAAATTTGGGATAATGAAATTAATGCATGAATACTTAATTTCGAAATGAAATTAACAGATGAAACTTTCAAGATGGCGAGTGAGCGCCATCTGGAAAAAAATTAAACGGAAAGGGGGTCTTGTGACATTTTGAAGCTCCTGACGAGTACTTACGAGTACAACCCTAGAATATGAAGTCAGTATCTTCACCTACTACAAAATGGCGGAACATTTGATAATTTCCTGAAGACAAACACATTATTATCGATATTTCTAGACAAATTTTTTTATTTGCCATATGGCAATTCCAGCAACCCGATAAGGTTTGTTAAGTTATTTTTCGTTTATAAAAACGTCAAATAATGTCAGTACGACAATGAACATCATTGTTCAGTTAGAATATTCTCATTTAGTTTTCGGTTTTACTAGAAGGAAGGTACCATGTCAACAATCTCTAAAATGGTCAATTATGGTCCGTTGGAAGAAAAAATTGAAGCGATTTTTATTTACGGTGCGATGCGTAACTTTCACGAGACCGAAAGGAAAATATTTGTGGGAACTTGTAGCCAAATTCACAACTACTGGTAGTGTACATAACAAAAAGCCCCCAGGCAAATAAATGGCGAGATGGTAGCAAATCCTGAACAGTCTACTTATTCTGCCGCGGATGTTTGTGAGGTGTCTCCTTCTACTGTGTGGAGACTTTTGAGGGGGAATAGGTATCATCCACACTCAGTGGCAAAAGGATAACTCCAATGCCAACCCTCCCACACACACACACACAGGTGTCATCCATACGAAATTAAAATGATACTGAAGATGACCCCGATCGAAAAACAGCATTCTGCGAAATCTCCATAATTCTTTTTTTAGTGACGAATGTACATTTTTTTAAACGGCAATGATCACATTCAAAATTGTCGTTATTGGAGTGACACCAACCCTCACGTTTTCCGGGAAACACATACCCAATATCCAGAAAAAATTAACGTTTCGGCAGAAATATTGGGAAATCATATTTTAGGACCTCTATTTATTGATCAAATTTTGAATATGCTGGAAAGTACTGTTGACACTCTCATCACTGAAATCGTCGAAGCGAATCTTAATGAATTCGATATGGATATTGTACTCCAACAACATGGAGCACCACATTACTCCAGACAAGTAAGAAACCATTTGGATACTCCTTTTCCCGGTCGTTGGATTGGCCGTCGAGGTCCTACAAAATGACCAGCCCGCTCGCCAGATTTCACACCTTTGGACTTTTTTATGAGGCTATTTAAAGCAAAAGGTGTTCAAAACTGAACCTGATTCAATATTAGATATACGACAGAAAATAATAAATATTTGTAGAGATATTGAAATGTTCGGTGTGAAATATCGAATAGGCTGTTCATATGTCAAGAAGTTCAAGGCAATCATTTCGAGCATCTTCTGAACTGACTTCAAGCTTAATACCTAATATTATGTAGTTTAATGTCGATGTATTCAGGCAAGTATTTAAAGTTCCGTCATTTTGTATTAGTTGAAGATTTCAACATTATATTCCAGGGTTGTGAAGCACTTGTCAGGAGCTTCAAAAAGATGTGTCATCCCCCTTTCCACTCAATTTTTTCCCAGATGGTGCCCTGTCGCCATCTTGAAAGTATCATCTGTCAATTTCACTTCAATATAAAGTACTCATGCATCAATTTCATTATCCCAAATTCCAATTTTTTTGAGTTGATTCGTTCAAAAAATAAACGATAGTATAAATTCGGTTTTATTCGAAACAACAAAGGGTGCAACATGAATTCACTCTGTATTAACCATTTAATTATAACCATGTCGAAAGTTGCGCTGCGGTCGACCTTCGCGAAACTAATATAAACAAAACATGTTTTCTTACCATCATAACTGGATTCTCTAGTGTCTGTGTCAGTGCCTCCTTCGTCAGCGGGTCGCTGTTGTCCATTTTCATTTTGGTAAATGGTAACATTTCCATTAACATTGAATTGTGTCACAGGACCAATTATCACATCACTGGAATTATCGATATTAACACAGGCATTTTCAAGATTCACCAGTTCTCCATTCCTGGAAGTGTAATCACTCACTTCCAGGGGATTGGATTGACCAAATTCATCCTTGACCAAAATATCCGAGTTGCCCATCAACACCGGATGACAATTTGTAACCAGAGACTGTTCCGAAGAAGAGTGTGGCATTGGTGATCATATCTCAAACAAAAAATACACATTCCATACCCGATTGATTATACACAACACTGCACTGACTGAGGCTGCTATGTTTTCATAAATCCTTATTGAGTTTCTCGTTATCTCCTACTGCTGATATCAATTTTTGCGACGTGTAGTTTGTACTGTTTGTAGATAGACGATAGCCGTCATCGGAACTAATAAGCGTAAAGCATTCACATCAAGTAATACGTTCTGTGGGTGGGGAAACTCGAACTAAACCCATATGTGAGAGAATTACCGAAAGAACTGATGAAATCTGGAAAGAGAACGACACAATATAGTGGCCGAGGTTTGCGACAAATAGTCGTGATTATTAATTATTCGAACAACGCATTTCGAAGAAACTTATTCAATTGGTTATGTATACGGGGTGATTCTTAAAAGTATAATAATAAATTTGCCTATCTGAGATGGGCCTGCCTCAGTGTTGAATTGAACTGTAATTGGTTCTGAGGTGTTGAGTAATGGATCACTGTCTACTACCAAACTATAGTTACTTATCAATCAGGAAACGCTCACATAATTGACCCTTTTTTCAATAGTCGTAGAAAATAGTATACAGTCAGACAGACAGATTTTTATTTCCAGTTAGGTAGGTAGGTAGGAAGGTAGGTCTAAAGTAAGTGAGCCACCGCAACCCACAAGGGTTTATTGTGGCTCACACCCATTCACACTCGGACAAATAACCCAGCTTCTTAACGAAGCCGATTAGTTTGTATGGTGAGTGGTCTTTCAGGTCAGATGGTGAGAATACGGATCTGCCAAACTCAAAGAACCTGATTTCGGTCCCCAGCGGGGCAGGCACAAAGTATATGCTCTGCTGTTTCATCATTTCTCAGGCAGAGGCGACACACACTGTCTTCCGACAGACCAAGTCTCTGCATATGATGATTTAAATGACAGTGACCTGTAAGAAGGCCTGTTAGACATCGTAGTTCATCCCTACTGTAGTCCAACAACTGTTTGGAATCAAGCTTCAAAGGGTGAATAAACGCCTTGGAGTGAGCCAATCCTGGAAGATTCTGCCAGAAGTCCATAACTCTTCTTGCCATCCATG